GGGTAGGTGGAGGAGGATCATGGGCAGTTGGGCACACCTGGCGAGCCAAGGAGAAAACCGAGACAAGCTTCCTCCCGAGCACCTTGGCATCTTGAAAACCCTCAGATATCATGTTCACCTGTGGCAAATGCAAAAACAATAATGCCAAGGGTTAGCTGTTGTTGGGCTTGAGCAGGAAGAATTTCAAATGGTTTGATTGGCCAAGTGTCGTTGGGGAAACCCACTTTTGATCCTGGGTCAATATCCCAGAGGTGACAGTTCTTTTTTCCGGGTTGTTTGTGAGGAATTCCCGGCCTCATGGATATTTTCATGATAATTGGACTCCTCACTTTTCCCAAAAAAAAGAAAAAAAAAAAGAAAAAAAAAAAAAAGAAATGGTTTGATCATTGATGGCTTCTTCTATGTAGTTTTGATTCTGTAAAAAAGGCTATTGCACAAGTCCCAAAAAAAAAAAAAAAAAAAAAAAAAAAAAAAAAAAAAAAAAAAGCTGTCTTTGTTGAAAAGATTTAAAAGTCCAGAAGGGGACAGTACAGTGGAGGGGATAATCGTGCACGCCAAACTTTGCAGGGTGCACAACTTGTAGTATAATTTGGTTAAATTGCTTCCAGAGTGCTTAGCAGGGGTTGCGTCCTTTAAGAGGGGTCCAAATGCTGTTGAAAGGGCTTCCAAGGGGTTCAGCAGAGGTCAAGAACCATGCTGTACGAGGGGTCAGCAGACCAGCAGAGGACCAAAGGGCTCCTCTAAGTCGCTAGTACGCCATGACATGTCCTCTGCTCTGCGCCTGTTAAACCACCAGTACATTTTGGGAAGGCTCTAATGCAAATGCATATGGACCCGTGCGGTGCACCGATTCAGCCACCGCGCTAACGGCCTAAAAATGTGGCGGTACTGGTGATTTAAACCACCGGTACCCCGCCCAGATATTGATGCCGAGCCTATATTCGCCCTGCGCGCCCAAAAAAAAGAACAGACGCGGGCCTGCTTTTGGCTGGCATTTCACAGCCATTTCAGTCCGCTACCCGAACCCCCGAAAGTTGCGGCGGTTTACAAAACTCTTATTTTTCTTTCCAAGCTTGAACGGGTAGATGTGGGAACCGGCTGGACCGAAAAAAAGACTGCCGCAGCCCTACGGTAGGCCCCAACCCTGTGATATGTTGGAAGTCCAGGGGCCGGCAAAACCAACTACTATCAGTCGATCACACTGCCATTTTGTTAAAATTCAAAAAATTCTTCAATTGCATTAAACTGACTGTTAAATTTCCAGTGCTGTTTTGGGATTTTTGCACTTTTGTGCCGCAGCTTAGTAGTGTTCTACTAGGGTTTAGGTTGAATAAGCCTACCCCCCATTAACTGACATTTCGTTAAAATTGACATTTTTTTTTCTAAATTCACAAAATTGAGCGTATCAAAAAACAATATATTTTTTTGTTTTTTCGTCCCCATGACGTAGGATGATCAGATCATCGGGTGTCGTGGCGACTCCTGATGATCTGACCATCGGATGTATATTAACGGTACTTTATGTTGAGGTACATCAGATGGACAAAGTGAGATAACCACTTTCTCACCCAATGAGCAATGAAATTTTGACTAAGTCCACTTTCGTGAATTTAGAAAAAAATGTCAGTTTTAACGAAATGTCAGTTCATTCCGTCCAAATTTTCCCTTGTATTTCATCTAGAAGGTCTGGTACGGGTCAGGTAAATTAAATTCCGTATCGCATACGGCCTTGTTCCAAAGTCTAACAAAGCTGCACCCTCATATTAAAAAAAAAAAAAAAAAAAAAAACAAAAAAAAAAAAAAACCACTAATGTGCAGACTGTGCAGTAGGAGCGTGCAAAAAACCCAATCAACCTTCAGTGGTCCTTCACTACCAAGAAGACACCAAACAAAGGGATGACTATAGCCAGACTAAATGACAGACAACGAAAGCAAGGCGGTGCACATCTCAGTTACATTTTTTTACCTCTCAGAGGCAAATCAGCTCCAAACAGCTTTCTAGTACGCTTGCTCAGTTAATCCCCTGGTTACCCAGGGCAATCAATGCTGGCAGGCAATAGCCCTCTCGCACATCGCAGTCATATTTAAAATTTCTGAGGTGCAGTTTTCGTATTGTATAAGGGACGCTGGACTCTTTTTTTGAGCAGGTGATGCTCCCCACCAATAGATGGAGCCTCTCCCCGGGGGCTAGTGATGCCTGCTCTTATCAGCGGCACTAGCACTGCAGGGGGTGTGGTTTGAAAAAAAAAAGAAAAAAAGAAAAAAAGAAAAAGGCGGTGGGTCCTCACGAAAAAGGCGTAACTTAGAGGTGAAATGATAGAGAATGATGGTGGGGACGGGGGATGAAGTATAATTTATCGGGAGAGGAGGCAGGCCAGGAGAAAGTCTACCGTCTTCACCTGAGTAGAACGCCCGGTCATTATCGCTGCATCTGGACCGAAAGTTGTGCCAAATACAGCTATAATGACCGGGCGTTCTATTCAGGTGAAGATGGTAGGAGAGAGGAGGTGGGACTGGAGAATTCCGTGGAACGGTAGAAGAGAGGTTGGGAAATGAAAGGAGGGAGGGAGGGAAGGAGGGAGAGAGATGCCTTTGGGAAATGAAAGGAGGGAAGGAGGGAGAGAGATGCCTCAACGGATGGAAAACGCTACAGAAAGCAGTTGACAGCCACTGTGGTTGAAATGAACATTTTTTATTTTTTTTAACGAAATTGGCCCCGAAAATGTCTTTTTTTTTTTTTTAATGTCATATTTTTAGCTCCTGAGGGTCCCGTGTTCTCGAAAAACGCTGGACCCTCCTGAATGTATCTGGACTTAGCAAATTCCAGATACATCCAAAGGGGCTGAAAATGCCACACCCTCAGGAGCTAAACATGTGAGCTTTTTCGGGCCAAATAAGTCGGTTTCAATTTCGTTCAAAACAGTGTCACATAAAACATCCATTTACATAAAATGTCCATTTTGACGACATCATTTCGGCTGTTAGTTGACCGCAGTGGGAAAGGTGGGTGGAGCCTCAGGTGACAAGGGGAAAGAGTGTCTGGGATGCAGGGTGCAGGGTAGAGCGTCCTGCAGCGTGTTCACGGCTTTTATGTGCTTATCACCCCTCCTCCTGGGGTGGCGGACAGCTCTTTCTCTCTGTTCATTGCCTTGCTGCAGACAAACCGTATAAACAAGATGTGCATTCTTATTAAACAGCCAGTGCCTTTCCCATAGATTGGCGGCGGGCCCTGCGCGCCAAGGGCGTCTGATGTAAGTGGCCGTCGGCGGAGGCCGGATCAGGCCTCCGTGTTAACCGCCGCGCCTCAGCATTTTGGCTGGGAAAGGTACTCAGTCTGGTGGTTTAATCAAGTAAAGGGTGGCGAATGTCACACCACGAAAGGAGGGCATGGTGGGAGTGAGAGGAGCGAGCAGGATGAGGTTTGACTCGGATGCTCATCGCTTTTCATCAGGCAGTTTTTTTTTTTGTTTTTTTTTTTTTTTTCATCAGGTAGTGGTACACCTTCACACTATTCTGTCCGATAATCTTTGGTGACAGGAACAACCATAAGAAAACTTCCGTCCCTCTGAGAATTTCTGTTCGCTAATATTTGCTAATAAAAAAAAAAAGAAAAAAATGTTGAACTTCGCTAAGGTAGGACCCCACACGATGGCGGCAAACGGTTTCGGAAGTTGAGAGGCAACTTCCGAGACCCCACAGACGGATTTGGGCTTTGCAGAAGTCGTCTGTGGACTGTTTCCACTTGGTCTGCGGCCCCCTTATTCCTACGTGGCCCTAAATTCCCGTTTTCCAAAAGTCGGGCCGTTTACCTACCTCTTGGGTGCGTAGTCCGGCACATTCGGACAGAAGTCGGGCACCTGCAAAGCGGACATGTAGCGGTCCAGTGTTCGGTCCAGCAGGACTGAGGCAGGACAAGGGTTGTTGTCGCACGCTGACCGTTGGGCCCTGGACCATGGCACCATGTGGGTTGGGAGGTCCTCGTCATTTTTCGTTTTGAATTTCTCGCACGCCCCAACGGCCCTGCGATTTCATTTTTTTGTCGCCCGCCTCCATATCGCTACAACAAGCACGTAGGCTGGCTGCATGCAGAACCCGATGTCCTTCTTCCGCTGTTCGCATGCAGACTACGACGAATGCCAGCCTCCGTAGCCATGTACGGGTCGTTCGTGAACGCTGCACGCACGTCGTGGGGGGGGCGGCTGCTTCGTCTCCCGAATCCAGCGTTCAGTCTCCATCAGGCCAGCCATTGTGTCACAAACGCAGCGTGGCAGACACGTCCACGCGTGGCACAGCGACAGAGCGTTTACAGCCGTGGCGAGGGAAGACTGCGCGAGAAGGTGCTGGCTTTCATCCCATCATCTTTTTTGGCCCGACCTAAGGAGAACGTTGGAAATGGTGTGCAAGCTCGGTCCGGAAGGTGGGACGAAGGATTCGTTTCGGCAGTTTTGAGCGCGCAGGGAGGTGGTGGGTGGCAGGTCCGTCGCCCCTGGTTGTCGGGTGTTGACACGTGCACAGCCCGTGTGACGGAGTGTTTGGCAGTTCGTGTCAGGAACCGTGAAGGCGTTGCGTGCAGCTTGTTGCCACATCACCAGCTGCGAGGGACCGAGGGTCTCCGTGGCCGTGTTGTTGCTGTTGATGTCGTGGTCCTATAGTCGTCGTCGTTGAAAGTTCGGCCCGACTGCGACGGTTGCAAGGCAGGTGCACTTCGCCCCATGATGTCCGTGGTTATCTTTCTCGTGTTGGGTGTACTCGTGTTGTTTGTTGCAAAGCGTTGTTGTGTCCGCGTTCGTAGGTCTTGGCGCTTTGTACTTTCTGATGCATCAGTGATGCACATGCACAGACAGATGTGTCAAGGTATACAAAGTTGCATACACACACAAGAGCTAGATAGACAAATAGATAGATAGATAGATAGATAGATAGATAGATAGATAGATAGATAGATAGATAGGTGTGTATAGTGGGGTGTGAGGAGAGGTTGCTGGATAGGGAGACGGAGGGTGAAGATGACGCCAGTTGTCGTCAGTGGTCACAGGACCGTATGAGCACGGCCGATTCGCGTAGGAGGGTCGGTGGCGATCGAGAGCACAGCGGACAATTCGAGAGTCAGCTGGCCGGGGGCTTGTCATCGTCTCCTTCGGATATTGGCGACATGCGGCCAGCGGCTTCATACCCGGGCAGTTATGGGCCATCCCCGGTTTGGAATCATGAACCAATGGAGCTTGGGCGCTCACCTTCTATGAGATACATCCCCATTCCTCCATCGTTGTTGTCGTCTACAGTTGCGAGTTTGGCACGGGGGTTCGACCAGTCGACAACAAAGTATCCGGCAATGTCCGGGCCGACGACGTTTTATGAACAGCGTAACGACTGCCGCGGCTATGGAATGGCCAGTTACTTCGAGCGACCGCGGTTTGGTAGGGCCACGTCGCATGCACCTTTATACATGCCTGCGGACACGACTCTGACGTACGGCTTGAGACCTTCTGCGGACGGGTATCCTTCCCCGACGATGTTCGAGCATCCAATGAGCATGTCCTGCGATGGCCCAGATGCTGAAGCCATTCCCTCTCCGCAGTGTGCCCAGGATGCCCCCCCTCCCCATGACGCACATGCTCATGCGACCTCCGATCCTTCAAACATGAGGGGAAGGGCGATCGGGCGAAAGGCACGTGCCGGCTGGCAAGGTGCACCTCAGTCCCCAGCCGCCGGCCGGCGATGGCGATACCGAGGATGACGGCGAAGGATGGAAGCAAAAGAAAAAGCCGTGGTCTTTGGAGGAGCACCTGACACTCGCAAGATACATGCGAGAGGATGATGGCGGCCCAACCAAGACAAAAACACCAACGGTGATCGTTGAGGACTGATTGGGTGGCGATGCGGATGAAGGAGGATGGATACCACTGATCGGCGGAGGACGTGCGGAAGAAATGGGCTGACTTGCAGAACAAGTACAGGGAGATCAACGACAAGTGTGGTGGGTCTGGCAAGCCGACATTCTGGGACATACCTGCTGAGGACAAGAAGAGGGAGGGTTCGACGTTCCTTTTTGAGGAAGAGTTATGGGACGAGATGGCATGGGTGCAGGGGAAGAGGTCGGCCATGTGCGACAACATGATGGAGTCGTCCACGTTGCCTGGTGCAGATAGCCGAGGCTCGGAGAAGGGAACCTCCCCCGCCGCCCCGGTGGAAGATTCCGAAAGCAGCAGGAAGTCCCACCGGACAGACAAAGGAAAACCATCCGCGGACGAAGGGTGAGCTCTTCGAGATCCAGTTTGCGGTTTTCCATGGAGGACTCCACACGCGCTCCCTGTGATGGTCTCAGGAATGCGGCGGGGACTCTTGCAAGGGCCAATGCAGAAGGTGCACAGCAAATGGCCACTCAAATCGGTGCGGCACACATTGACCATTGGGCCGGACCGACGGTTTGTTCACTGCGTCTATGCACTTCTACCGGTGGTTTTCGCAGTATGGCGCTTGCGATCGGGGTTCGATGGGACCGTTTTTCAAACACTTCATTGTTGGATATCGACTGGTGAAGGAGGTAAAGAGCGGGGAACTGGAAAGGGGGATGGGGGAGGGTTGTTTCCTATTGCTTTGTTTCGGTATTTTGAAGTCCGCTTTCGTATTTTTAAATTTTCCATTATCTTGGTTTTTTTTTTTTTTTTTTTTTTTTTTT